ACTCAGGAGCCTGAGGCAGGAGAATCACTTGAACCCAGGAGGTAGAGGTTGCGTTGAGCTGGGATCACGCCACTGCATTCCAGCCTGGCGACAGAGTGAGACTCTTGTCAAAAAAGAAAAGAAAAGAAAAACCCTCAATTTCAAGACATTGAAAATATAATGGTTGCATTAGCTTGTTGATAAGGGTGTTACCAGAAAGAGGTCCAAGAGAGGGTTCTTGGATCTTGCACAAGAGAGAATTCAGGGCGAGTCCATAGAGTAAAGTGAAAGCAAGTTTATGAAGAAAGTAAAGGAATAAAAGAAGGGCTACTTTGGGGTAAGAGCAGCCCCAAGGGCTGCTGGTTGCCCATTTTTATGATTATTTCTTGATGATACACTTAACAAGGGGTATATTATTCATGCCTCCCCTTTTAGACCATATTTGGGTAACTTCCTTATGTTGCCATAGCATTTGTAAACCGTCATGGTGCTAATGGGAGTGTAGCAGTGAGGAAGACCAGAGGTTACTCTTATTGCCATCCTGGTTTTGGTGGGTTTTGGCCAGCTTCTTTCTTTTCTGCAAGCTGTTTTATCAGCAAGGTCTTTTATGACCTGTATCTTGTGCTGACCTCCTATCTCATCCTGTGACTTAGAATGCCTTAACTGTCTGGGAATGCAAACCAGTAGGTCTCAGCCTCATTTTACCCATCTCCTTTTAAGGTAGAGTTGTGCTGGTCCAAACGCCTCTGACAAGATTACTTCTTAGGTTCCTGCAAGAAATTTGACCCCTAGAAATGGCCTAACTAAATGTCAGCAATTAAGATCTAAGTATATTGGCAGGTGTATGGCTTACCAGCCCTTTGGGAGGCTGAGGCAGGGCAGATCACCTGAGGTCAGGAGTTCAAGACCAGCCTGTTCAACATGATGAAATGAAACCCCGTCTCTACTAAAAATATAGCCGGGTATAGTGCTGGTCGCCTGTAATCCCAGCTGCTTGGGAGGCTGAATAGGAGAATCACTTGAACTGAGGAGGCAGAGGTTGCAGTGAGATGAGATCATGCCATTGTCCTCCAGCCCGGGCAATGAGTGAAATTCAGGCTCAAAAAAAGCAAAAGTGACAAAAAAAAAAAAAAAAAAATCTAAGTATATTACCATATTCATTACCGATTCTAAATTTAAATTAGTTGATAGTCTCAGAGATTGTTCCAGAAAGTTATGGAAGTTCTCCAATTCAGTCATAAATAGTTCAAATTACTTGCTTGAACTGAAAAAAAGTTGTTATATTGATCAGCTTATTAAATGATATGATTGGTAAGACAAATTTTTGAAATGTTATCTGACATTTTGTTTCTTGTTTGAAGTACATTATTAGAGTTACCCAAAATCATATGAATAATCTGAGAATAATATTTTATTTGAGGCAAAAATGATAGAATAATGACATTTAACTATGAATTCTAAAATTAACAGTAAATATGACACACCACCACGCTCCCTGAACTTGTAAACTATCTTGATATATTAAAGGAGTTAGTACATCTATCAGGATAGTCAAAACCCATACAGCATGGTTCTTAAAAGACGAATCAACATAGCTGTATAATAAGGAGAGAGATACATAGATACTACAAATTATTTTGCCTGTTTAACCTTAAACATACAAAATATATTTAGCATTATATCTGTAGGAAATTATATCCATGTCTAAGACAAATATTTCCAATTCATTCCAATCTATAGTCCTCAAAAATTTGGAGAACTAATTTGTTTCTTTACTGTCATGAAGTAGGTAAAAATGAAATGGTATTCATTAGGAAAAATGCAGAGGGAAAAGATGAATGTTTTAAAAAAAAATAAAATATAGGTCAGAGACATCCTCAAAGAAAAAAGGACATTTAAGTACTAAGGTTATAGTATAGTCATCAGGTTCTCTTCAAATTTGAAATTTTAATAGTTGATAAGTTTTAAAGTTGCATAAGTCTATAGACAGTGATGGTATATCCAATACATATAGTGAAGTATATATTTTCAAAAATGGTACTGAGCTATTTGTCCTATATTTGATGATACTATTGGCAAACATAAAATACATGGCTTCTCTCATCACATGTATACATTATAATGTCTAATAGCTGGAAAACGCTTTATAACATTTATATATTTAACATTTTTTGATATAGGAAAATAAACATTTATAGAAAGACTGTTAAGTTACATCACTAAATGTATATGTATTTTTTAATGTGTGCAATTATTGGGTTTCTGTTCTTATTACTGCAGGAAGCATATGTGCCTCTTTTCTTACCCAAAGTTACCAACTGCCAGTTCTTGATACAATGTTTCTAAGGAAGAAATACAGAGGTAAAGATTTTGGGCTTCACATGCTGGAGGACTTTGTTGATTCCTTTACAGAAGAGGCACTTGGCGTACGGTATCCACTGTCTTCTCTCATGTACACAGGTAAATGGACTAAGTTAAAAAGTGATAAACTTGTCTCTGTGTCACTTGTGACTTGTTTCTCCAGAATACTATACGTGTGTATATATCAGTATCACAAAGATTTGGAATCTCGGGCTCTCTAGAACTAAATTTTGCAAATAAGCCCTTCCGTATTTGTTTTCTGGGGGTTTGGTAGTCTTAGAAAAAACTTTAATTAATACCGTAAAATTGCCGGGCACAGTGGCTTAGGCCTGTAATCCCAGGACTTTGGGAAGCCAAGGTGGGCAGATCACCCGAGGTCAGAAGTTCAATACCAGCCTGGCCAACATGGTGAAACTCTGTCTCTATTAAAAATAAAAAATTAGCCAGGCATGTGGCGCATGCCTCTAATCCCCGCTACTTGGGAGGCTGAGCCAAGAGAATTGCTTGAACCCTGGAGGTGGAGATTGCAGTGAGAGAACATCATGCCACTGCATTCCAGCCTGGGTGACAGAGTGAGACAGAGACTCCATCTCAAAAACGAAACAAAACAAAACCAACATCTACCATAATATTTGCCCTGTTAAAAGTATACAACTCAGTGGTTTTTAGTATATTTATAGTGGTTCAATAAAAACCAGCAATTCCAGAACATTCTCATTACCCCAAAAAGAAACCCTTTACCAATTAGCAGTCACTGTCCATTTCCCCTTCCTCCATCTGTAGCAAACCACTAATCTATCTTCTGTCACTGTGAATTTACTCATTCTGGACATTTCATATAAATGGAATCATACAGCATGTGGCCCTTTGTGCCTGGCTTCTTTCACTTAGCATGTTTTCAAGGTTCATTCATGTTGTAGCATAAATTGGTACTTCATTTCTTTTTATGACCGAGTAATATTCCATTGTATGGCTGTACCACAACTTGTTCTAAAGTGATGTTCCATTTTACATTCCCATAAGCAATATTATATGAAGGTTATAATTTTTCCACATCTTCATCCTCAGCAACATTTGTTATTATCTGTATATTTTACTACAGCCATCCACATCCTCACCATTTGTTATTATTTATATATTTTATTACAGGCATCCTAGTGGATATGTAGGGGCATCTCATAGTTTTGCTTTGCTTTGATGTTGAACGTCTTTTCATGTACTTATTGGTCATTTGTATACCTTCTTTGGAGAAATGTCTATTTAAATAATGTGACCATTCTGGGGGGGTACTAATTTGTTTATGGTAGCTTTTAAAATTAACAATAAATTTCAAACATACAAAAAGGTATAAAGAAGCTGGGAATGATGGGATATGCCTGTTATCTCAGTTACTCCAAAGGCTGAGGTCGGAGGGTTGCTTGAGTCCAGGAGTTTGAGACCAGCCTGGGCAACATAGTGAGACCTCATTTAAATTAAAAAAAGTTTAAAGAGTAAGGTGTTGGCTGGGCATGGTGGTTCATGCCTTTAATGCTAGCACTTTAGGAGCCCGAGGTGGGCAGATCGCTTGAGTTCAGGAATTCAAGACCAGCTTGGGCAACATGATAAAATCCTACCCTACAAAAATTACAAAAAATTAGCTGGGTGTGGTAGATTGTGCCTGTAGTCCTTGATACTTGAGGGGCTGAGGTGGGAGAATTGCTTGAGCCCAGGAGGTTGAAGCTGCAGTGAGCTAAGATAACACCACTGCACCCCAGCCTGGGTAACAAATTGAGAGCTTATCTCAAAAAAATGAATAAATGAATAAATAAATAAAAAGAAATAAAAAGAAGGTATCAAATACTCATGTACCATGTCAGCACATACCATCCATGAGAAATGGCTTGCTGCCAATGTGGTGGAAGCCTTCTGTGTACTCTTACCCAATTAGACTCACTCCCTCCTCTGGGATGAGTACTGTACCTAACTTGGCACTTATTTTTCTCACACATTTCTTAGACTTTAATACATATGTGTATGTTCTCAAACAATATATCATGTTGCTTTACATATTCAAAAACTATAAATATGTACTGTATGAATTCTTCTGCAGTTTACTTTCTTTACTCATCTTTATATTTGTGAGATTCATCCATGTGGGTTTGTATAGTTCCATTTATTTTCAATGCCGTGTTCCATTTTATGGACATTCCACTTGGTGTGATTTAAAACCATTAGTGGGTTTGGTTTTGAATTTGTGTAAAGGTCATATAACTTCTCAATGAAGTAAGATTTAATCCTACATAGTAATTAACCTAGAAACTTTATGAAGTATCATTTACTATTGATTTCAGCCTAACAGCAGTTATTTATTTCCACTGAAAATATATTTTTATTCTAAATCTTCCTTACCTTCTTTAATATCAGAAGCAATCCAGAAAATAGGAACCAAGTAGAGAATTGGATGCCCACCTTGAATCATATTTTCTCTCTATACCCATACATGAGAGTGGGATGGGCATTATGTGCCCTTGGTTAGTCCTAAAATGCTTTACTCTAGGTATTGCTTTACCGAATTTGGGGAGAGATACAAAGACATCCACTGCAGGCAGAATCCCCTAATACTTACTCTCTTCTGTGATTCTAGTGATAAATAAATTGAATATCAAATGAATTGCAGATGATCATCAGCTAATTTCTATCTTTGCATAAAGCCTTAGCACTTTGTGAGGCCAAGGTGGGCAGATCACTTCAGGCCAGGAGTTCAAGACCAGCCTGGCCAACATGGTGAAATCCAATCTCTATTAAAAATACAAAAATTAGCTAGACATGGTGGCACATGCCTGCCATCCCAGCTACTGAGAAGGCTAAGTCATGAGATTTGCTTGAGCCTGGGAGGCAGAGTTTGCAGTGAGCCTAGATCAGGCCACTCCACTCCAGCCTGGGTGACAGAGCAAGAGTCTGTCTCAAAAAAAAAACAAACAAACAAAAAAAAACCACAACTTGGCAGGCCTAGTAGTGTGCGCCTGTAGTTTCAGTTACTTAGGAGGCTGAGGCAGGAGGATCACTTAAGTACAGGAGTTCAAGGCTGCAGTGAGCCACTGCACTCCAGACTCAGGGAAAGAGTGAGATCCTGTTTCAAAAAAAAAAGAGAAGGCAAGTATCTATTAAGTTATAATTTATTATATACAATAACATACACCAATTTTAAGAGTACATTTCTGACAATTCCAAAAGTTCCCTTTGTGCACCAGTCCCCCAGCTTCCTTCCCCTCCAAACTCACTCCAGGCAAGCACTGATATGCTTTCTGTCAGTACCAATTAGATTTTTCTAGAGTTTCATGAATAATGGAAATATATGGTGTGTGTACTTCTATGTCTGGCATCTTATTTTTGAGGCTCATTGATGTTGCATGTCTCAATACTTCATTCCTTATTTTTTTATTTTGCTGAGTATTTCTCTCTCTCTTTTTTTGAAATGGAGTTTTGCTCTTGTTGCGCAGGTTGGAGTGCAATGGTGTGATCTTGGCTCACCACAACCTTTGCCTCCTGGGTTCAAACAATTCTCCTGCCTCAGCTTCCTGAGTAGCTGGGATTACAGGCATGCACCACCATGCCCGGCTAATTTTGTAATTTTAGTAGAGACAGGGTTTCTCCGTGTTGGTCAGGCTGGTCTGGAACTCCCTACCTCAGGTGGTCTGCCTGCCTTGGCCTCCCAAAGTGCTGGGGTTACAGGCGTCAGCCACCACATCTGGCCTAGATCAGGCCAGATTGCTGAGTATTTCTCACTTTGATGATACCACGGTTTATTTATCTGCCTATTGGTAGACATTTGGTTTCTGTTCTTTCTTGGCTATTATGAATAAAGGTGTGTGAAAATGTCTTTGTATGGACATTTGTTTTCATTTTCTTGGAGCAAATACATAGGAGTGTCATTACTGGTTTTTATGATTGTGTTTAACTTTAGGAAGTTGCCAAATTAGTTTCTAATAAAGTAGTTATGTCATTTTGCATTCCCGTTAGTAATGTGTGGAAGTTCTGGTTGCTCTACATACTCATTAACACTTGGTTTTGTTAATTTCTTTAATTTCAGCCTTTTCTAGTAGCAAGGCTATCTCACTTATTACGTGGATAATGCTATCTCACTTATTATGTGGTTTCAGTTTGCATTTTCCTGAAGACTAAAGATTTTGAGTATCTCTTCATGTGATTATTGGGTAATCATACGCCCTAAAAAAGGGTAGAAAAAGTGAGGTGTTTGTTCCTATCTTTTGCTTATGTTTGTATTGAATTGCTTGTCTTCTTATTGAGTTACGAGTTATTTATGTGTCTTGGATATTAGTTCTTTGTGTATATTGTTAATTCTTTCTCATGGCCTTTTCCTTTTCTTAATCTATATGCATTTATTTCAAGTAAGTTTTGATATTATTTAGTTTAAATCTCCCATCCTACTATTCTTTATTTGTCCCATTTGTTTTTTCTCCTTTTTTCTTTCCTTTTGGAAGTACTTATCAGTGTTCTATTGTATCGCAACAGTTGGTTTATTAGCCATGCCTTTTTGTTTTGTTTTGTGGCCTGTTGTGTTGGTTTTCTCCAGCTTCTTCCATCCTTTTAGTTTTGGAAACTAAACCCAGAACATATGAAAAATATTTTCAAATATATAGGGAAAAAAATGGATAGACTAGTATCCTAATTTCTGTACCAAGTCTAGATTGAACAGATGTTAAGATTTTGCAATTTTTATTTTAGTTTAAGAGAGAACTAAATACAATGTTTATTGATTGTAATAAAAGATACAGTTGATGTTCTCTTTGAATCCTTCTGTAATACATTCTCCTTTCTCCTTTCCTCCCCAGAGATAATTGCACTCCTGAAGTTGGTGTTTATTTTCCTGCTTACGGTTTCATATTTATGTCTGTAAACATTATAAAATATTATTTAGTGTGTTTTCTTATTTTTTAAACAGCTTTTTGTTGTGGTAAAAAATTGTATATAATACCTTATTTGTAGGTGAACACTTCAGTGGCTCTTGCACACTCTTTTCTGCTTTCTGTCCCTATGAATTTGCCCATGCTAGGTACCTCATCTAAATGGAATCTTAGAATATTTGTCTTTATTTGTCTGGCTTACGTGACTAAATATAATGGTTTTGAGGTCCATGATGTAGTCCATTCCTTTTTATGGCTGGATAGTTTCCCTTTGTATGAATATACCGTATTTTGTTTGGCCATTCATCTATTGATGGACACTTGGGTTGTTTCTACCTTTTGGCCATTGTGAATAATGCTTCAGTGGTTCGTTGGTGTGCAGATATCTGTTTGAGTCTCTGCTTTCATGTCTTTTGAATATATACCTGAGGTGAAATTGGTGGGTTATATGGTAATTTTGTGTTTCACTTTTTGAGGAACTGTTTTCCATTGTGGCTGTACCACTTTGTTGAATAAGTTTTTAAGCTTTACATAAATGGTGGCATTTTGTTCATTTATTGGCCCAATTTTTACTGAGCATTTTTAAAAGAGTTATCAATGTTGATTTAGGTAGCCATAACTCATTTATTTTAAATACTGTATAGTAATTTTATTATATACATATTACAGTTTATTCATATATTTCCTTACTGTTGAGCACTTAGGTTAGGTCTCCATTAAAAATAGTCCTGTAATGAATATTATAAATGTTTTCTGCGTATGTACAGCTGACCCTCCACTTACGATGGTTTAACTTTTGATTTTATGATGGTACAAAAGTGATACTTATTTAGTAGAAACAGTCATTTGAATTTTGATCTTTTCCTATGCTAATGATATGATACTCTCTCATGAAGCTGGGCAGTGGCTGCCAGTCAGTTCCCAGTCAGCCAGGCGATCACAAGGGCAACCAACCAGTACTCTACAGAGTACTGTATTCAATAAAGTATATGAAATATTCAACCATTTATCATAAAATAGATTGTGTATTGGATGGTTTTGCCCAACTGTAGGTTGTAGGCTGTGTTCTGAACTGTAAGTGTTCAGAACACATTTAAGGTAAGTGAGGCTAAGCTATGATGGTTGGTAGCTTAGGTGTAGTGAATACATTTTTGACTTAATGGTGTTTTCAATTTATGATGGGTTTAATAGAATGTAATCCCATTGTAAGTCAAGGAATATCTGTATAAGGTATTAGGGTTTATACCTCAAAGTAGAATTGGATCATAAAATGTGTCTCTTCAACTTTGTGTTGCAAAATTATTCTCCCACCAGCAGAGTGTGTGTTTCTATTCCCTTATTCTTCTTGGTGCTTGTCATTATCCCACAGGTGTGAAAATCTTATCTTGTTTTATCTTACCTTTCCTTGGCAGCTAGTGAGGTTTATCATCTTTATGTTTATTTATTGACCACTCAGATTTCATAAGGTGTAAATTTCCTGTTCATAGTCTCTGCCAATTTTTCTTTGGATAACCTTGTCTTTTGAATTCCATTGTAGAAATTCTTTATATTTTTTGAGTACTAATCCTTTGCTTTACTCTAAATGTCTCCTAATCTTTGTCTTTCTGGGATCATTTTCATGTAGAGGGGTGCAGTTCAATACAGTAGTCACTAATTTAAATATAAGTTAGAGTTAATTAATATTAAATAAAAATATAAGTTCATTTCCTAAGTAGCCACATGTGGCTAGTGGCTATTGTGTTGGACAGTGCTGATGATAGGACACGTCTATGTCCCAGAAAGTTCTGTTGCACAGTCCTGATATATACTAGGTTTTAAATCTTAATAGATCATAATTTTTCATCATGGACTGTGATTTTTGTGTCTTTTGTAAGAAATCCATCTGAACCCTATTCTCCTATGTTTTCTTTTAAACATTTTGGTTTTTATATTAGGTCTTAGAATTTGTTTAGAGTTTATGTTGATGTGAGGTCAGGATCTGACTTTATTGGTTTTTTTTTTAAATAAGGATTTTTATTTTAGCACCATTATTTTAGTAGTTTATCCATTATTTGCTGAAATATAATGCCTTTTCCATCATTTGGCAAGTTGTAGTTTATATGTGGTTCTTTCCTAGTGGAGTTTCTTTGTTATTTATTTGTCGGTTTTTTGTTTTTTGGTATTTTTCTTCTCCTTCCTCCCACCCCACAGTCTGTTTATATATCTTTATGTCAGTACTATGTTGTTTCAGTTACTGTGGTTTTATAATGATTCTTGGTATTTACTTGGACAAGTCTCTATCCTTATTTTTCTTCTTCAAAATTGACCTGAATATTGTTTCTTTTTTTTTTTTTTGTAGTTTTAAAACTGATGTATAATAGTTGTACTTACTGAATATTTTCTTACCCTTTATTCTTTAATTTTGGAATTTGGGATCAAGTTTTATTAAAAAATAAGTTATGTTGGGATTTGTTTGCAATTGCATGGAATTTATAGATCAATTTGGTGAGAACTGGTATTTTTACACTATTGAGTCTGACAGTCTTTTTATTCAGTTCTGTGTTGGACACCTCAGTAACATTTAATCATTTTTTTTCTTTAAAAACGAAGTACATTTTTAAAGGATATTTACTGTTTGGTCAAGGTAAAACTTGCATTTGGGATTTTATTTGGAAGTTTTATTTATAAATGACACTACTGTATACTTGAGTTGTGTTGGTGGTGTTTTGGTATCAAGGTCATGTTAGCCCCATTAAGTGAGTTAGGAAGCTTTCCATCTTCTGATTTTCAAAACAGTGGATATTTGAGATTTCTAGAAAATTCTAAATGTGTTTTTCAGCTTGCAAGCAGTACTTTGAGAAGTATCCAGGAGATCATGAACTCCTTTGGGAAGTTGAAGGTGTTGGACACTGGTACCAGCGAATACCAGTCACCAGAGCATTACAGAGAGAAACACTTAAAATACCAGGTAGGAGTGTTTTCAGTTTGAACATAAGTTCAGTTTACTTATCCTTGCTGGCACACAAGTCCAGTTTAAAAAGCAGTGGCTAATAGTGGTTATGTCTTAGAGTCCAGAGTAGTGGTGTATTGTAATGTGATAATTCTAGTAACAGAATCTCGTCTGAAGTTTGAATTTTTGTGATTATATAACGTTTGAGTCCCTAGTAATAACGAGACCTAGAACAGCTCAGTAGGAATTGGTGGGTAAGAAATAAACATAGATTACTGAAATGGCATAGAATAGGCACCAGTGGGGTCCAGAGTACCCACTAATCTCATATACGTCTCTCCAAAGCCCCTATAATACTTAAAATAACTATTTACCATTGTATATAATGGCAATGTTGCATTATAAGATACTGGTGAAGAGAACATCTCACACCTAGATTTTCATGACCCTTCTGTCTAGGCTGCTCTTCAGGGCTTTTAGGAAAGTCAGTACAATGTTACAGTTAAAACCAAATACTGGTTGGGTTACAATTTTTAAAATTCTTCTATACACAGCAGTTTCTCAAAATGAACCTAAAAGACCTATGTCTGGAGAATATGGTCCTGCATCTGTTCCAGAATATGAAGCAGGAACTGAAGACAATCAGTCTAGTGAGATGCAGCTAACTGTAGGTACACTGTATGTTTACTGTAGGAAATAATTTTTGTGTTTTTAAAATATAGATTCAGCTTATATTTGAGTTTTAAATGTTATAGTTCAAAAAAACCTATGTAATTTCTACTGTGTTAGTTTTCCTGGCATCTTCTGTTAATATTACTAAGGACTTTAATTTTCTTTGAAAAATAATTTTAATGATGTTAAAAGTATGAGCTAATTAAAGGTAATTTAGAATGAACATAAAATAATATAGAAGAAAATAAAAATATATAATTCCACTATTCAGATATAGCCACTGTTAAACATTTTTGCATATTTATTTAATATTGTATATTACAAAGCATGTATCTGTATATATTATATTTTTATTCTCTTAGATTGCTTCTAACTGCCTTCCTCCAGTAATGTAATATTGGAAGCATTTTCTTTGGCATTAAATCATTAAAACATGATTGTTAAATAGCAGCACACTATTCTATTATCTGTTTTAATTAAATACCATTATTTGTTTCTTTAACATAGAAACCTTAAATTTTTAACATTTTTAAATGGCCCAGGAGCAAACACATTTATATGTGAATCCTTGTGTATATGTAATTACTTCTCTGAACATAAAAATTTCCAGAAGTAGAGTAAGTAGGTGAAAGATGATGGAGTTGTTATGTAACGTTTGAGGCTGTGTATGCTAGGTCTTTGTAGAATGTAATGCACTTTGCAAATACTAAGTATCCTGAAAATAGAAGGAAAAGTCCCATTACCAAACTTCACAGGACTTACTAGGTCCTTTTCTAGAACCGATGTTTTGTGGTACTTGGTATTGCTTAAAATACAGGCCCATTGATGGGACTCTAGAAGTCTAGGGTTTTGGGGGATGGCATTTATTACAGTCACATTTTTGTATGTGTGTATCTAAGTTTATTTTTAGTGAGTGTTGAATATGCCTATGTAAATACATAGGCATATTGTATAAACAGCTGCTTTAGGGAATTATTTGTGCTTATTTTCTGTCTTAGTTAGAATGAGAGTTGACTCTATTTGAGTAGAAAATTTGTAACCATTGTTAAGAATAACAAATAATATAACTATACATAAGGAGTTGGGTTTTTGTTTTTTTCCCCCTACATTTGGAAATTCAAACTTGAGAATAAGCTCCTGTTCTATTCAGTCTAAATTTCTCAGATATACACAGATTCATTTAGTATTGGCCAGTTGTCATAAAATCAAGGAAAGTAGAAAATCTGTTCTTCTATAAATGTAATGAGAGCAATGATTTACTTTACACTAATCCAAATAATTTTAGATTTGTTATTTGAGTGAGAATATATTACAGTGGTACAACATCACAGTTGATAGCATAAATTTGGTTTTAGAATGTAACCTAATTAAGATTTTAGAAATTCTATTCTTCATATTACTTTAATGTTTTAAATAGTTGAAGGAAAATGTTTATCATATTAAACTACTTGTATTAAATCCCTTTTTATCAGTAACCACAAACAGTTTTGTTTATTTTAACTACATGATTTATTCTTTAGGTAATGATGGTATTGTTACCTATTTTTTCCTTTTTTGTATTTTTTGTAGAGACAAGGGTTCACCATGTTGGCCAGGCTGGTCTTGAACTCCTGACCTCATGGTTCACCTGCCTCAGCCTCCCAAAGTGTTGAGATCATAGGCGTGAGCCACTGCACCCAGCTGTATTTTTTCCTATTTTTATACATAAAACATTAACATATATTTCTCTTACGATACTTTTTGTGCCTTTTATTTATCCATCTTTACATTTTAACCTTTTGTTGGACTACAATTTTCTTGAAGCAACATTTTTGTCACATCATTTGTCACAATTGCTCCTTTGCTTTTGTTCTATAAATTGAAGGCTGTGTGTCTACTATATTGTGGCATTTCAGTAAGCATGTAATGGATGAATAAAGTAGTTACCGTGGCAAGCACTGGACATAGAAAGATATGGTTCTTAGACATTGGAGAACTAGATGATCCTTTGTTGGAAATACAGAATTAAATACTACAGCATAAAAATTATTATAGCAAGTGATTGGAGGTACATAGGAGAGGTTGACTTTTAAAGGTGGGTGGGAGTTCTGTGACATGGGTTGTTAGGGCATTCCAGAGGATACTATGTAAAAAAATTACAGAAATGTGAAAGAAAATGGCGTGTTTGACATGACAGAGGTACTTGGTATTTTGCATATGTTGAGAATTTGTATTCTAAGCAGTGGTTGGCTATTAAAGGTTTTTTTTTTTTCCTTTTTTTTTAAGCAAAGAAATGGTATAATTTGTGATTTGAAAGTATCACTTTGTCATTAGTGTGGAGGGGTTTAGATGGGATGTGATTAGAGCAAGGGATACTAGTGAGGAGGCTGTTGGAATAGTTGAGGTTCAAGAGAGTAAAGGCATAAACTAAAGCAATGTTAATACAAAGGATAGGGCAGTTTTGAGAGGTTCTTCAATTAAAATGGAAGGACTTTGTGATTGATTAAATGTGGGATAGGAAGAAGTCATTACTGCCTCACTGTTTTCTGGTTAGAATGACTGAATTGTCATTAAGCAATATGGGGAATAATATTGGGGAAAGATAAAGTTCATTTTAGGAATGATTGAGTGTGAAATTGGATGGGACATCCACTGGGAGATATTTCATTGAAAATAGAACTTTGGAAATCAGGAAGAAAGTTTGGAGGCTTACGTTGCATATTTGAATTCATTGGTAAGCAGATGCTGAAGTAGGATAGTGAAGGGAAAGCATGTGGACTGAGCAGAGAAGGTGGCTGAGGATGGAACTAGGAGAACAGTGGACACACTATGACATATTAGATGACTTGCATATGTTCTCAGTCTTATAAATTGAAGCTGAACTATAACCTTTTTATTTTTAAAGTAAATGTTCTTAACAAAAAGTGCTATTTGAAAAACATTTTACAATTTTTTTTTTTGAAACTATAAATGAAATAGATCCTTAGGAAGAAAAAATAGACTAAAACTTTAGGTTTAAATCTATCTCTTTTTTAGATGGATTCTTTAAAAGATGCCTTTGCAAGCACTTCTGAAGGTAAGAAATTCAACTGATATGTCCGTATTTGAGACTTCAAATTAGAGCTGTGTGCGTGAGCATGCATGCATGCATGTGTGTGTGGTGTCTCACCCTGAGTAAGTGAAAACGTTTTCAGCTCTAGAATCCAGATATGGGTTCTCATGCCACCAATGTCACTGATTTTGCTATGTGAACACTGAGTAAGCTATTGTACCTCTCTCTTCCTCTTTTCCTTAGCTATAAAATAGGGATGGTAATGTCTGTGTTGTTTATTTTCCAAGATTATTGGGAGAGAATGTAAGTGAAATGCAAAAACACTTTGCAAAGCCCAAGATAACATGGAAATGTGAGGAATGAATTATACAATTCATATAACTTGACAAAGTTATTATATATTTTAGAAAAAGACGTAAATTGTAAAATTTTTTAGCCTGACTTAAGTCAGGGGAGGGCAAACCTGTGTAATGTGGGGGATATGTGTAAACTAGTGTAGTTCTTGCATTTCTGTGTATTTTAATAGGTAGTCCTTTTAATATGTAATCAACTAAGTGCAGTTTTGCTATTTTCCTCCTCAGGTCATGATAAGACATTTGTTTCCACTCGTACTCGAAGTAGTAATCTAAAGCGGCCGAAGATTGGAAAGCGGTTTCAGGATTCTGAATTTAGCAGTTCTCAAGGTGAAGATGAAAAGACTTCCCAGACTTCACCTACAGCTTCAATAAACAAGTAAAGAATTGTTTATTTTACTCTCATTTTTTGTTTATTTGTACTTTCATATTAGTATTTAACATTTAAGGTAGAAGCTCTTTATTTTGTTTGTGTAGCAGATTACTTTGGTATAGGAGTTTGTATTTGAATT